GTTTCGGGAGAAACACCAAGAGTCAGCATCCATTAAGGGCTCCAAAGTAGTCATTCTGTTGAATTAGCTACATATGTAGGATGGCACCAGGGGGCACTGTGGGTCCTGGTTTAAGGACCCTAGGGGGTCCAATTCCCCAGGGCTGTGCTCAGTGCAAAGGGCATGACTGATGCCCCTTTGAAGACATTTGTGTTGCACAGAATGAACTCTCCACTCTGAAGCCCGCACCTGCCCTCCTTCTGACCTCAGGAAGTTACCAGTATGAGGCCTCGAGGCTCAGAGCTCAGACAAGAGTGGAGACAGAGGCACTGGAGGAAGAAGAGATGAGATTTGCATTCAGATTCCTCCCTCTGGAGCTGCAAGCAGAGAGGATAAGACAGGAGCTTGGAGAGGCCAGTCCCAGCTGGGCGGCTTCAGGGCAGAGAGCCTGGAAACTCCTTCCCACCATGGACAGCGTTTCCATCTACCTCCTGTCCCTAGTTTTCCCCACAGGTCAGAGTGTCCCAGGGCACTCAGGGTTTCCCCTGCCTGATATTCCCCTCTAAGCACAGTCCTGAGGGACATTTGCTTCAACTCTGGTGCATCCAGCCTCATTTCTGTATCTGTTTCCAGGCTTCTGTGTTATGGTCGTTATGAGCCAGCCCCCATCTGCATCTGCCTCCCTGGGATCCTCGGCCAAGCTCGCCTGCACTCTAAGCAGTGAGCACAGCACCTTCTACATTCATTGGTATCAACAGAAAGCAGGCAAGGCCCCTCAGTATGTGAAGAAGGTTAACAGTGATGGAAGCCACGGCAAGGGGGACGGGATCTCCAATCGCTTCTTGGGCTCCAGCTCTGGGGCTGACCGCTACTTAACCATCTCCAAACTCCATCCTGAGGACGAGGCTTAGTATTAGTGTGGTACAGCTCAGAGCTTTGATGGTCAAACCATATATATATACCACAGGGATACAAAGGGGAAGTGACTCAGGGACTCAGGGTGAGAGTCTCTCCCTCCCCAGGACACTGAAACCTAAGATTCTTCCCTTTGCTAATCTCATCATCCTACCTCCTCCCTGAGACACCACAAAGGAGAGGTCCTGGTGAAAACAAAGTCAGGGTCTCAACAGAAGGCCATGGTCAGCTCTTGTCATGTGGCAGTGACGAGTGAACGGTGTGAAGAAGTGTCCCTTTCGTTGTCTATTCTATACCTGCAGCTTAATTTTCAGAGATTGCTAGGTGATTCTGAGGCCAGATCATAAATTGTATATCAAAAGTACTTCTGGGATATCAATTATGTTCAATTTGGCTGTTGTAAACAAAAACAGAGGAAGAAGTAGTAGTCTGGCCAGTGACCTTCACAAAGTCTCGAGAAGGAATGTCATTTCTTGCCTTTCTCTCATTTGGAGTATCTCTTTTCCAGATGAACTGTTGACAGATTAACCCAGGGAGCAGCTGAACCAGGTCACAGGACCTGCACGTGGAGGTACTTGGAGCTGATGTGGCCGAGAGTGTGACAGGGAGGCTGGGTCGGAGGGAGAGCGTGCTGAGGAGGCGTCGTTTCTCCTCAGGCTCCCTCTGCGCCCCCAGCTCCTGCATCTGTTTATTTGCATCCTTAACGTCCTGTTTCACTCTTCAGTGTTTCCGTATCTCATGCCTTTCTCCTCAGGCTCCTCTGCCCCCGCCCCCCCCAGCTCCTGCATCTGTTTATTTGCATCATTAACATCCTGTTTCACTCTTCAGTGTTTCCGTATCTCATGCTCTTTGTTCCTTTTTCATTACCTCTTTCTCTTGATAGTTGTTGTGTGTATGTTTACATCTATGTGATTTTATCCCACGTGTAGCTTCACGTATCCAACAATGAAATGAAAACACAAAACACTTCCATCAGCACAAGGGTCCCCGTGTGTCCTCTAGTAACAACAGCCCCCTCCTCCCTCCGAGATGCCCTTTCTGCCCCCCACCCCGGGAACATCTTAACAACTCTCCATTTTGTCTTGGCAGTAAACATCGATAGAAATAAAGGTATATAGTTGTACATTATTTAACCTTTTGGGATTGACCTTTTCACTCAGCATAATCCCCTGTAGATTCCTCAAAAGTGTTGTTGCATGAAAAGTTCCCCGCTTCCCCTTGCTGAGTGGTATTCCATGGTCTGGGTGGACCACAGTCTGTTTAAGCATCCACCGTGGAGGGGCATCTCGGTTGTTCTCACTTTGGGACATTAGGCACAAGGGCGCTGAGAACATTTGGAGAACTTTTCTGCTAACGTAAGTTCGTAGTTTTCTGAAATAAATAGCCAACACGTTATTGCTGGGTCATATGGAGCGTAGGCACAGATTTAGTTTTGTCATTTTTTAAAGCTGCCACACTTTCCAGAGTATCTGTATCATTCCACCGGCCGTGCATGAGTGACCTTGGATTTCCCCATCCTTGCCGGAACTGGCTGTCGTCTCTATTGGAATTTAGCCATTCTGATAGGCCTGTAGAGATACTGCACTGTGCTTTTCATTTGCATTTCGCTAATAGCTAAGGATGAATAGCTTCCCATGTCCTCGTTGCCGTCACTCTAGATTCTCTTCCACAAAATCTCTGTTCTCATCTCTTTTTCATGTTCTCAATGCATTGCATTTTGTTGTCTTTTTACTGTTTACTTTGGAGAGTTCCTTTTATACTCTGAACACTAGTTGTTTAAGGGCTATTTGGTTCTTTCTGCTAGCTGTTTTGTATCTTTTTTAGACACTTTTGCAAAGCCAAATATTAACTTTGTTGTGGTCCAATGTATTAATCTTTCCTATTACAAATCGTGCATCTGGTGTCATCAAGAATTTTTGCCTTACTCTAGATCCCAAAGTTCTTTTATGGTTTTTATTCTAAGACATAATAAAAAAAGATTACCTGCGAGGTCCATGACCAACTTCACTGTGTCTAATCATGGAATCTGCCCTCTCATCCACGAGCGTGACCACTG